TATATTGTACTGCAGCTCTGTCCATAGGTCTTTCTAATGGTATCGATAATCTCTTTTTTTTATTTGATTGCGGCAATAGTTCACATTATTTATATTTAAGTAATTGGCAGAACGCACTCTCACTTATTGAAGCGGATTTGATTTTTCCTCAAACATACAGAAACGACAAAAATAAAACAAGCTCTTTTTCAAGTACTGTCTCAGCTGGCGTTCACATTGGTGCGATGCATCGGCACTATTAGTGCCTTCTCCGATTTGTGTTAGGGACCTCACATTCAAAACAATAGTAGTTCCGAATTCTGCCATCTTCAAATGTATAATAAACGAGTAATAGTTGAGTAATTATGCAGTGCAACAGTATTTTCGTACCAATACTATAAAAAAAGTTGCTATTCCATAACGCAACGAGCGAAAAGTAGCTATGTAATGGCAGGTAGCCTCATCATGGGAGCTTGGCTGTCGCATGACGTCGCTTGACGCACTGAATATGAGAATTTAGTCGGTCATATGAAAAAAAATGTAATAACACGATCAAATATTTTGATTTATTAAATCCACAATATTTAATTGTTATTGTTTTTTCGAGTTTCTGGGTATCTAATGAAACCATTTAGCTACCCCTCTCGCTAGCCGGGAGAATGCATAGTTTTCTTCCAATATCTGCACGCATTGTAAATTATTAATAGAAATGTTTTTGAATATTCCTCTGAGTTCCTGGGTATCTCATGAAAGCATAGTCGCCTCTCACATGCCGAAGGTTGCATAGTATTCTTTCAATTCCTGCGTATATTGGAAATTACGCATGATTTAAAGATGTTTTAAAATTATTGGCAATAGTCAAATTCAAGTACATTTAAACATTCAGACATAGTTACTTTTAGAATTTTCGATTTTCTTGTATTATGTCTATTAAAAACTAATCTGATGACTCTCTCTCATAAAATAGAAAATGCCTTCTTCAGATACACTGCATTAAATCATAACACCTAGTTTTAACATAAACATTCAACTAAGAATTTGTACTGTTAATTACAAAATATCTCGACCTGTGTCTTGTATTGTTTTGTTTATTATTACAGCTGAATGTAAAATTATTACGTATTAATTAATTGATCAATGATCAATCAATTCATATAGTAATAAACGTTCATATAGTAATAAAATAGTCTCTAAATGGACAATTTGTTGCAGTGCGTTTCATTGCTTACAATTCGGAGATTGTTGACCTTGGCGAAACATGTTTCCATCTTCATTTAACTTGGTTCATCTTGGGTCGGCGAGTTTAACTCATGAACTTGGAACAATAAAACTTAAATAGCTTGATAGAGCCTCCTTCAATTTCTACAGGGAATTACAACTTGTTTTAGATGTATTGGTTTTGTTTTCATCAACGTTTAATTAGATGACAGTGACAAGACTTGGCCAATGTGAGCGGCGGAAGAGAAGACTTTGATGACACACTATTTTTGCCGCTTCACGAAAGAGGGGATGTGTGTCATCGCTGATTCGACAAACCTACTTTCGATCTCTCTCATTGCGAAAATGCGGTTCTGGTGTATGGCCTCAATAGGTTATTGAGTCAATCAAACATTCTATTGTACAACGCTTATTCGTCAAATAATAAGAGAAGAAAGAATGTGCCCTTCACTTGGATATTTCATGAGCCATCTAGAGCTACCAGCACCCAAAACCAAAACACAACCTAACTTTATGCGAAATTAAAGACTAATGTTAGGCTAATTAAGATGAAGCTCTTTTGGATTTCCGTAAATCGTGGATGCTGCTAGTTTAACAGCTTTAAAGCTAACAGCACCCATCGAGAAAAGTCAAGTTCACGTGCGAGTCATTATTGGAAGTCAACGAAAATGCGTAAAAAGTTAAAAGTTTTAGAGAGATAGTGTAACAACCCATATTTTACCAAATGCAGAGATGTACATATTTGGAATATGTAACGTTATTATCGGCCAACATACACAAAAACTCAAAAAAAAACAACAGAAAGAATACGACACCCTATTCAAAAAGTAGGGCTAATTGTAGACTGGGCGGAAAAAAATATTCCAGCATTTATCTTCGAAAATTGAGGGATGTTCAAGGAAGAAACTAGTGACATACAGTGTGGGGCCTATTGTCAAAAAAACACAAACAAATGCAAATACTCGGAAAAATACCTCACTATACCCAAAATGTAATGCTAATTTGAGGCTTTCAAAAAGGAAACACTTGTTTCATAATTCTGTACAGTTATATCAACTTTACGCAATAAGAGAAATGAAAAGCCACTCTGAACGGCCGGCGTCTCCGTTAGTCCGCGAATTTTAGTCCGCCTCCGTTAACAATAGAATCAAATGAGTGGAATCTAAAATTCTTAGTATAGTGGTGTAAGTCACATATTCCAATAAATATTTTTTTCTTCTGCAAACGATTCTTCCACATACGAATATGGTATTACGAAAAGTATTGTACCCCACTCAGCCGATAACACATATAACAGACTCGATTGGATAACCCACGACTATCTTCTCTGTCTACAAACTTCACACAGGTCTGTTATGTGCTGTTTATCGACTTAATAAACATCATATTATTATAAATAACAATTTACACAACATTTTGGACGTCTTTATACAACACCGCTCATCATTATGGATCTGAAATTTAAAATTGAAAGGATGCCAAGCTAAAAAAAGTTGTTTAAAATATAATTTTAAGTTTGAATTTATAAAAATAATGTGCGTTTGTCGGCCCCGTGGCGCAGACGGTTGCGGCATCCGTCGTCTGTGCCGAGGAGGCTGCAGGTTCGAGTCCTGCGTAGACATGGTCGTATTTGTGATTTTCCCTTCACCTATCATCATAATCCTATCATCTCATAAGTCACACTTCAAGGCGTAACGACCTTGTTGTAATCCAAGTATACAGCTGAAAAGCTGATCCTGGAAGAATTACACACGTTAATCGTGTTGCGTAGTCAGTAATGGCCTATACAATAATAATAATAATAATGTGTAATTTTCCTAAAAATGTGTAAAATTATATTTTATCCACTTTCGTCATGTAAAGTGTCTCATAATACTATTATAATCAGTTTCGTAATGAAGTACTTTACTTCTCTAGCGTGGCAATGTAGTTCATTACCACACTTGTGCGGTAAAGTAAAGACGTACTTTATCACTCTTCTTTTAGAAATATTTTTGACATCTTGTATTCTACACATTTCCCCTTTAAAAATGCTAACAGAGTACTGTAACGTATTAGCCAGCGTGCCTCATGGCATCTATTTGGGGACGCTTCGTAGAGGATTAGCCTCGCC